GCTGGAGTGGAGTGTTCCGAAGGTAGCCGTGGAGCAGCTTGCCGTCCCGGTGTCGGTGTCGTGCCGCCGCAGCAGCAATCACCGCCAGTGTCAGCCCTTCGCCTGCTCGGCCTCCCGTCCCCTGACCACGTGTTTGTGCCTCCCCTGCCGTCTCCTCCCCTTCCTGTCTACGGCCCTGTGTTCCCTCCCCCGGACTTGTCTCTGGCTCGTCTTCCTCCTCGTTCCCCTCCAGTGTCCCCTCCTCTGTCTCCTGACCCGACGCCTCCGTCTCACGTCTGGTCTCATCGTCCGTCCCGTGCTCGCCCCGTCTCCCATGTCTCGCGCTCTCATCCTATGTTGCTTCGTTCTAACGAATCTCGTTCTCCACTCCTACCGTCGCCGCCTCCGTCCTCTCTTGTTGTTGCGCCTCCCCCCCTGTCTGACTACCTTCGCGCCGCTCGTCCCCTTGTTCCTTGGATCCTTGCCTCTCTCGTTACTGATCCGTCTGTTCCAGTCTCGTATCTCGCCACTCTTGTCGCTGCGGTCACTGGCTTCGCCTCTACCCGCTGCCTTGACTACGCCACCGCTCTCGTCTCTGACCCTGCCTGTCCTCCGTCTGTCGGGGGTGCTCTTGCCCTCGGCAGTGACGTCCTGGAGGACCGCCAGTACGAGCTTGCTTTCCTGTCCGAGGCTGCTCCCCATCTCTGTTCCATGCTGTTAGTCCATGAGGGTGACCCAGACGCTTTCGACATCCCGACCCCTCGCACTTACGCTGAGGCGACCTCGGGACCTTGGGCCTCTCAGTAGATAGCTGCCATGGAGCAGGAGATGGCATCTTGGAGATCCACCGGCACCTACGTTGACGCGATTCCTCCACCTGGGGTGAACGTAGTCGATGGCCGCTAGCTCTTCAATGTGAAGCGCCCTCCTGGAGAGCCGCCTGTGTTCAAGGTGCGCTACGTGGCTAGAGGCTTTAGTCAGCGTGAGGGGGTGGACTTCTTTCAGACTTTCGCCCCAACCCCGAAAATGACTACTCTTCGGGCACTGCTATACGTAGCAGCATAGCGTGACTACGAGTTACACTACCTCGACTTCTCCTCTGCGTTTCTTCAGGGCAGCCTACACGAGCAGGTCTACATGCGCCGCCCTCAGGGTTTCACTGGTACCTTCCCTCCTGGGACCCAGTGGCTTCTGCGGCGCCCAGTCTACGGCTTGCGTCAGGCTCCTCGCGAGTGGCATGACACGCTGCGTGCTACTCTTGCAGACCTACAGTTCTTTCCTTGTTCCGCAGACCCCTTGCTCTTTGTTTGTTATGGCCAGACTCTGTTCTACATCCTTGTTTACGTAGACGATCTGGTCTTTGCCATTGCAGGCACCACCACACTGGCCTTTGTGAAGGCAGACCTGCTGAGGAGACACACCTGTACTGACCTAGGAGAACTGTGCCACTACCTGGGCCTGCAGATCTCTAGAGGCAGAGCAGCGCGCACCATCACTCTCACCCGGTCACACTTGGTGTGCCAGGTCCTTCAGAGGTTCGGTCTTTAGTTCTCCTTTGCACAGCCCACACCTCTTCTAGTAGATCATAGGCTCTTTGCTCCAGTTCCTGAGGAGTCAGTAGAGCCCAGTGGTCCTTACGCAAAGCTGGTGGGTTGCCTCATGTACCTGATGACTTGCACTCGTCCAGATCTCGCATACCCTCTCAGCATCCTGGCTCGATTTGTGGCCTCAGGCAGACACAGACCTCAGCACTGGTCTGCAGCTAAGAGGGTTTTGCGTTATCTCGCGAGTACATCAGGCATGGGGTTAGTGCTGGGAGGACGCAAGCCGGTGGTCCTTACTGGGCACACAGACGCTTCGTGGGCTGACGACGCTGAGACTCTTAGGTCCTCGCAGGGCTACTGCTTCAGCCTTGGTTCAGGTGCTGTCTTGTGGAGAGCTACTCGCTCCTCGTCTGTTGCCCAGTCCAGCTGTGAGGCCGAGATCTACGCCGGTGCCATGGCGGCACAGGAGCTCCACTGGCTGACCTTCTTGCTCACTGACTTAGGTGAGCGGCCTAGCTCTGCACTAGTCCTGTACGCTGACAATAGGGCCATGATCCTCTTGTGTCAGGAGCCTTGACTTGAGGGCTGAGCAAAGCACATCCAGCTGCGGTACTTCCTCCTGCTCGAGCTGCAGCAGCGTCGCCAGGCTCGCGTAGTACACTTGGTTTCCGGTGCCAACACAGCTGATATCTTTACGAAGGCCCTTGCGCCTAAAGATCATCAGCGGCACTGTGTACAGCTAGGCCTTGTTCCTATTACCTCTCACATGCTAGGGCCTTGACTATGTACTGACCTTTATATATATTTTTTATTCTTGACTGGCCTTGTGGCCTCTCCTAGTGGCTGGACTAGTAGTGTTGCCCTGGTCTTGCCCTTGCACTGGTCTGTACTTGTTTGACTGGTCTTTAGACTCAGAGGTTGGACTAGTAGTGCCGCCCTGAGTTGCCGTTTCTCTCATCAGGAACTGCACGTATGCAGTCTAGTGGCTGTGTCAAACATATATATAGTTTATGCTTATATAGACTGTATAGGTTCGTATCTTAGAGGGTACAACACTTAGGCTTATACCCTTGTACTCTTTTCTCTCGACATTCAATCCTACGTTAAGACGAACTCCTGGACTCGTCACTTTCGGCCTCATTTATCGGCCCAACCCATTTCCAAGTCGCGTCCGAACCTGTCGCCACATTGCCGAACCTACCCACGTTCCAAGGTTATCACCCTAGCACGCCAACCCCTATATAACCTCGTGCCTTCATTGCAATAGCGACCTTGTATTCTCACGTTTTAGTTCATTGACACTTCCTATATCATAACATGCGACACTTTCGTAACCACTTGCAAGTTGAAACAGGTTCTTCTCTATGAACGAACTGGAAGTGTAAGGAATTTCCATTCCTTACTGAGTTGTACGCTAGCGCGTACATCCGAACCAGGGTCCTCCCTAGGTTTTTTCCACTTTCTGATGATCGGACGGGCCAGGGCCTGTCCGATCATCAGATGTGTAGATTTTCTTTTCCTGATTTCCCAGACGAAATGATTACCGATTTCTGAAAATTCAGATGAAACCTTGTAAAATTTATGATCGTCACACTCCAGTTTAGCTGGGGTAAAGTCACGTGCGACAGGGGGAAACAAAAATTCCCAAGTTGAATTTCTGAATGCCCGAGGGTCATTAGGCGGATGGGGCGCGTTCGAATGAAACGTGTGGCGAGAAAAAACACGAATTTGCTCGTGTTGGGCGAAATCAGGACACGGGCGGGCCGTGGTTGGGGAAGAATCGAGAGATTTCAGGGGCGGGAAAACCGAGATTGCAAGGGGGGGGGGGGTGGGGGAGGGGGTGGGGGGAAATCGAGCTGGGGGTGGTGGGGAGATTCGACATAGCAGGGGCGGGGAAGGGGAATCCTGCCCTCCGAAGTACAAGTTGTGGGGAGGTGGGGTGCAGGCCTGTCATTATCAGGGTATTTTATCCTGATTCCCTGATTTCACCGGGTATTTGTTTGGCCATCCCTTAATTTTCAGGGTTGGACTTTTCGCAGATTCATTACGGTTGCATAGGCAAAGCTCGCTTTTCCACTAGGGTCCTGTACGAAAAAAACGCTGATTTGGCGAACAAGCAGAGAAATCTTTCACTTTTTTTGTGTGTTTTGTTTCAGCTCGATTCGAAAATCGACAGCTGACATTATCAGGGTATTTTACAAGGGTACTACATACAATGGCCAATCATGACAAAGATTCTGCCACTAGTCAGGGGAGGGACAACTGTTTTTTTCTAGCAGCATTGGTTTATTTCGGAATTTCCCCCAGGCCCCCAGTTCCCCCAAAAAATCCACCACACTTTGACGGTCACGATCGAACGCGATCGTTTCAACGTTTCTCAGCTGTTCATCGTTGGTCAGTCATTAACGACTGAGATTTGCACGACCTGACACCACCTGCTGACACGTCTCCAGCAATCGAATGTTCTTCCAGGGACTGTACACCAGGGCCTGAGCTAGTTTTTTTGCCGAATGTACACCAGGGCAGCTCCCGAATGTACCGGGCTTTGAAAGGTGTGGGGTGAGATTTGGGGGAGGGATTTGGGGAGGGCGGCGAGTTTGGGCGGGGGCAAAAGTTGAGGCCATAAAAACACGGGATTTGAAGTGTTTGGTGGGAATTCTCGACCGGTCTTGAATTCGGCGAGTTTGGACCGGGATTTTTCCAAAACAGAGCCCTCTTTTTTTTTTTTTTTTTTTTTTTTTTTTTTTTCTAGTCGACAGCTTTGGGTGTTTTTTTTTTAAAACGTCAGCCCTGGTGGGGTGGGTGCCAGGGGGGGTGGGGGGTTGGGCTGTTGTGGTTAAGAGGACGCCCTCGCACAGCCAGCCCAGTCACTCGCCATCCAGCGCACATGGCATGGTAATTTGGTGAAGGGCCAATAAGGTCCCTCACACAACCTAGAACACGAAGCAAACATGAATTTTGATGCAAGGGCGAATGAGCCCCTCACACAGCCTAGAGGGGGGGCGTATACAGCAACCGCTCGCAGACGAGCAGAATCGCTAAGTCTGAAGCGTCAGAAGAACAAGTACATAGTTCCTGGAAAAACAGAAGTACTATAATTCAATTTCTAAGGCATCAGAATTTCTATTTTGGACGTCTGAAAAATCAGAAGAAACCAAAAAATCATGTCTGAAAATAAGACAAACAGACTGATTTTGTCTGCTAAGGAGGACCCTGATCCGAACTCCTCGACTCGTCACGTTCAGCCTCATTTATCGGCCCAACCCTTTCCCGAGTCGCGTCCGGCACTGTAGCCACATTGCCGAACCTACCCACGTTCCGAGGTTATCGCCCTAGCACGCCAAACCCTATATAACCTCGTGCCTTCATTGCAATAGCGACCTTGTATTCTCACGTTATAGTACATCGACACTTCCTATATCATAACATGAAGTCTCCACTACATCGTAACATCCTTCACCTTTCCTGGTCGTGCTGCGTCTCATCCGGATTTCACAACTCCTTTCTTTGGAGCTCCCAGAACAACTAATCACACGGCTAGACCTCCCTGACACGTGGCATACAATGCGTCGCCGAGACGTCTTCCTTCGTGCGAACGTGGACGACGGCGGGCCTGACGTTGAAACTCCTTCGCAGCAGCATCGCCGCGTGGGCCTCAGCAGCAGCTCTCATGACTTAGGCGGCGGCGGCGGCGGCGGGAAGCCACAGATTTTGTGGTCCCGGAGCGCATCTATGAATGGCAGGGACATGCGTTTCATGGTCCAATGGGCTTCGTCCTCCGCTGCCACTTCAGCCGACCCGCGTTCCTTATTCCATTCGTCCGTCCCCGAGCACAGCACCACCACGGACCGCGGCAGCCTTTCCTTCTCCTCGCGCACGCCGCTCGTCCCCGCGCTTCGTAGGAATCGTTCCTCTAACGCGGCCTCGTCGGCTTCGCTCGCTACAGGCTCACCCGCGTCAGCCGCCAGCCCAGGCACCGCGGGGACGGTAGCGGGAAACTCCGCCTCCGGCCGTCCCCCGAATGGCGCGCCACTTCTTTCCCCCTCCCATTCCTTCCCCGCGCGCCCAGATGACGTGCGGTTACCCGTTCCGCGGACCGTTGAGCCTTCCGCCAGCGCGGCAACTGTCGCCCCCTGCCCGCATTCCGCCCCCGGCTGGGGGATGCCCTGCTCCGCTTGCCTGCGGCGCGCGCTGGAAGGTGGCGGAGCGGTTCGTCGCACGGCTTCCGCGGAAGGTCTCGTGCAGCAGTCTTCTGGGGGGGTGGAAGAAGCGGGGAACGGGATGAGGGCGCCGGGAGGCAAGGGAGGAGAGGGGAGAGGAGCGAGAGGGGAAGAAAGCGAGTTGGCGGGGGAAAGAGAAGTAGCGGAAATAGGAAGCGCGGACGTGCGGAAGGGGTATGGCGGCGAAATGGTGGGCCACTCAGAAGTGAGCAACAGCACTGGTAATGGTGCCACCAACATTGGAAGCCGATTGGTTGGAGACTTGGAACTGGCAGCCCCTGTGAATCTCCGGCCAATCAAAACCGGCGGGTCAGGCCCTGTGAATGCTGCTAGCTTGGCATCTCAGCCGTCCGGTGCGGTGGGCTTGGGTGGAAGCCTCATGGGATCTGCTAAGACGTTTGTTAGAGCGTTCAGCTTCGGTGCAAGGGGGGGAGGAGGTACGGGAGGAGGAGTGGTGGAGCAACGAGCCGCAGCAACAGGTCTGGTGGCAAGTTCGGAGGAGAGGTCTGAAATCCCTCGGTCCCGAACCGGGACCGGCCCATCCACGTCAGAATCGGTGCTGGCCTCATCAGTCCCGCCCTCCGAATCAGCACTACAGGACAAAAAGGGGCAGCCATCACAGAGAGGATCAACTGGGGTAGGTGCATCTGAGGCAGGCAGTGGGGCATGGAGATTAGGTTCAGGGGAGGAGAGTGCTGGCGTTGCTGCTGCTGGCGTTGCTGCTGCTGGCGTTGCTGCTGCTGGAGTTGCTGCTTCTGGTGCTGCTGCTGCTGCTGCTGCTGCTGCTGCTGCTGCTGGTGTAAGAGCGTCTCCTGGCAATTCCGGTGGTGCTTTTATGAGAGGTGCTTCAAACGGCGTGGGTGGTGAGGGGGGTGATGGAAGGGCGTACAGGCACATGAATGGGCACCGGGGGGAGGAGTGGGGGGAAGGGGGGGAGGGGGGGGGGGAGGGATGGGGGAGGCAGGCATGGGAAGGGGGTAGGAGAGAGTGGGGGGGTGGGGGAGAGCCAGATGGGAGAAGAATGAGCAGTGGAGGATTAGGGCCTGGAAGAAGGGGTGGTGGGCAGTGGGAGGGAGTGGAATGGGGGAGAGGGCAACTGGGGAGAGAGAGGTGGGGCGGAGAGCCGGCAGCGGAACAAGGAGCGTGGGGAAGAGAAGGGGATGGGGGGAGAGATGGAGCAGGGGGGTGGTGGGGGCCTGAGGGAGGAAAATGGGATGGTGGGTGGTGGGGAGAGGGGGGGGCTGACAGGGGAAGTGGAGGATGGGAAGGAGGAGGCGGCAGGGGAGGAGGGAGAGAAGGGGAATGGGGAGTGGGGAGGCGAGGTATGGGCACGGGCATACACAGAGGCACGGGCATGGGCATGGGAGGAGGTATGGGAGGGGCGGGTGGTGTGTCAGCGTGGCAGCTCCATGGCGGGTGGGGGCAGTACCCGCCCTTCCACGGCTACTCCAACAGCAGGCCGTGCTGGCACCGCTGCACTCTCTGGATCTTCTGGATACTCGTAGGCGCCCCTTAGCCCTCTGCACCCACCCCTTTTACCCTTCTCCACCCCAGCCAGCCCCTTTTTAACAACAACCTCCCCATCCTTCCCACTCCTCCGCCTCTGCTCACACCCTAACCCAACACCTCTGCGGATAGGTTGATTCCCACGCCTCTCTGTGCTCCTCTGCCCCTCAACCACGTGTTTGCCTGCTAATTGTGTCATCAGGGCACATGCTCTCTCTATATTCACATGGCTCATGCCATCCTGTTCTTCTTGATGCCATACAATGTGCCCACGCTGCACTTAAGGCTGCCTCTCGCTTCCTCTCGCTCTCTCACCACCTGCAGATCACACCCTCTTCTTTTTCTAACATGTGTTTATAATACTGACTACTTGTATCCTATGGTCTTGTGCGCCATGTGCTTGTACGCCATGTGCTGGTATGACATGGCCCATGTGCTTGTATGCAATGTGCTTATATGCCATGCTCTTGTGTGCCATGTGCTTGTATACCATGCTCTTGTATGCCATGTGCTTGTATGCCATGCACTTGTATGCCATGTGCTTATATGCCATGCTCTTGTATGCCATGTGCTTGTATACCATGCTCTTGTATGCCATGTGCTTGTATACCATGCTCTTGTATGCCATGTGCTTGTATCAATCGCAGGCCACCATCTGTGCCTTGGCTCTCTTCGCCTGGTGCATCCACGAGCGCTCTCGAGCCGACGCTCTGCAGGTCTGCTTTCTGCCTTGCACTCCACAGGCAGGCATCCCGTCTCGTAGGTGTGCTTCTCTCTTCGCTGCAGGTGATCCTGTGCATGCATGTCTTGTCTGATGGGCCGTGGCATCTTCTTCTGACTGCATGCACATTGCACATGCGTCTGGTCTGGTCCATTGGCCCATTCGTTGCAAGTCTGGTTTCTTGGCTTCTCATGATCAACCTTCTCTCAACTTTCAAGCATACTGCTTGAGATGTGTACATATCAGATGATGCTCGATGCTTCATTGCTTCGTCAACCTTTCTCCTTCCCGCTCTCCCCCACTCCCCTTCCTGGCTCTGCTGACCCTACCTTCACCCACCGCCCACCACCATCTCACCGTCCTCTCCCCCACCAGTTCCACCTGCGGGTGCTCATCGAGCGCCAGCACCGCATCACACACCGCCTGCACAGCGGGGCTTGGGCGGACGGGGGCGCAGCAGAGAGTCCCACAGATAGCAGCACCACTTGCAGCAGCAGGAAGGCAGAGCATGGGAGCAGCACGGCGTGGTGGACAGACATGGTCATGCTGCCCACCGGGGGCCGGGCGGCGACAGCTGGCATCTTGCTGCAGCCAATCCGAGGCGGGGAGGAAAGTAGGGTGGGAGAGGAGGCGAAGGAAACATGTGGAAGGCATGTGAAAGCGGGAGGAACCAGCAGAAAGGAGGGAGGAGAGGAAGGAATGAGGGAGGTGGAAGAGGACGAAGGGGAAGCTGGAGGCAAGGAGGGTGGCGAAGTGGTGTGGCGGCGCTTGGCTCTATTCACCTCCGTCCTCTGCTTCCTCCTCCCCCTGGTGCTGACAAAGCACATTGATAGACTCGCTGCTATCCTTGGCCTCGCCCCCCCAAAGACAGACCAAACACTGAATAGCACCGCACAGAACCACTCGTCACCACACCAAAGGCCAGGCGGAGCATCGAGTACTCCGTTACACGGGGCAGCAGCTGGTGGTGCAGCGGCTACGACTGTGACGAGCCCCGGGCGTGGGACAATGAGTGGGCAAGCGCAGGGGCAGGCGGAGGAGGTGGCGGTGGCGCCCTTCAGCAAGCGCCTGGCGTACCGAGTGGACGTGCTCTTCTCCACACACTCCTACGTCAAGAGCCTCGCCCTACTGAGCGCAACACTCGTGCTGTGAGCCTTCTTTGCTTCTCAGTCCTAAGTTCTTGCCTTCGTCTCTCCTTATGCTGTGTTCTCCGCCTGCGTTGGGCAGTCATACCGATTTTGCAGCCTGCCCAGCACTTGGCTCTGGTTTTCTTTCTCCACTCCCTCAGCAACCCCCTTGTCCCGCCTCTTCCAGCTCTCCCTTTCCTACTCACCCAAACCGCCCAACTGCTCTCAGCATCGCCCTGGGCGGCCTTGCCCTGTATGCGGTGAGTGGCAAGGAGCGCCTGGTGCTAGCCGACGCCACGTGGCGCGCGTGGACGTACGTGGCGGACGCGGGCAACCACGCGGACAGCGAGGGCGTGGGGCCGCGCGTGGTGAGCGTGTGCATCAGCATCGGCGGCATGCTGGTGTTTGCGCTCATGGTAGGGCTGGTGTCGGAGGGCATCTCCGACAAGGTGGACTCGCTCAGGAAGGGCAAGAGCGACGTCATCGAGCACTCCCACACACTCATCCTCGGCTGGAGTGATAAACTGGTGGGTCTGGGGTTTGCCTTCTTGGGAACGATGTGGTATTAGGACAGGTGGGGGAGAGGTTGGGGGAAGGGAGGGGGGAGGGATAGCTGAGGAAGGGCAACTGGGACGTCTATTGAGCACTCCCACACGATGGCTTCGGGCGGAGCGACAAGCTGATGGGTTTTCGAGCGTGATATGGGGACAGGTGATATGGGGACAGGTGATATGGGGACAGGTGATATGGGGACAGGTGATGCACGGAAATTTGGTGGAGACGCGCAACGCGGATGGTACTCAGCTCAATGGACGTGCATGGCTGGTGTGAGTTGGTCAACCGGCCTTTGTGGGCGTTGATGCAGCGACAGGTATGCTCGTGTGCCTTTCACATGTGCTCCCCCTCCAGGCATCTCTTGTGTAGCAGTGTACGGTGTTTGGGGAAGGGGGGGGGAGGCGTTTGGAGGCACTTTGAATGTGCATGTTCACATTTCCCACTTGGTCTATCTCCCACAGGCATCCTACGGTGCCCAATGAGAGCATGAGAAGGGGGGGGGGGTTGTGTTGTGAGGCGTGTTTGACTCTTCCCCTCCTATTCCCGTCTGTGTTAACTCCCCCCACATTTCCTCCTCCCCCCCAGGGCGGCCAGAGATATGTCTCTCCTAAAGCAGCTGACGATGGCCATCGCAAGCATGGGCGGGGAGTGGTGTGGTGGTGTTGGAGCCTCCAAATCTGTCCTCTCTATTCCCATCCATGTTCACTCTTCCCATATAACCCCCCCCCCCCCCTCTCCAGGCATCTATCCTGAAGCAGCTGGTGGTGGCGAACGAGATTTTTTGTAGGGGGAAGCAGAGGACGTTGAAAGGCACCTCCAGAAGTTTCGTCCTTATGCGTTCTCACCTCACCCGTTCCACCTGCTCATTTCCCGCCAGGCATCCCTGCTGAAGCAGCTGGCGGTGGCCAACGAGAGCCTTGGCGGGGGCGTGGTGGTGGTGATGGCGGAGCGTGACAAGGAGGAGATGGAGAGCGAGATCAGCAAGATGGAGTTCGACTTCAAGGGCACCAAGGTCATCTGCAGGTGGGCTTTAAGAGCACCAAGGTCACCTGCACTGCAGGTGGGCATCTTTGCTGAGTGATCGATTTCAATGCATTTGGACAGTGTTCCTTGCTGATTGGAGCTCTCAACTGTACATCGCCCCTCCTCATCCCGTGGCAACCCTGCTCCCCGCTTTCATGCCCGTCCCCGTTCTTCATCCCTCATACACTCCTCATGCCCGTCCCCGTTCTTCATCCATCATACATTCCTCATGCCCGTCCCTGTCTCGTTCATCCCTCACAGTGCAACCAACCTACCTCTCCCCCAATCCCCGTTTCAATTGTGGAGCTCCGCCACTCCTCTCGTTGCAGCAGATCTGAACATCTCAAAGGGCACAGCACGCTCGCTCATTTGCTGGTGGAGGCAGAGAATGCCGACGCCATTGACAGTTGCAATACTGCCCCCTTCCCATTGTCCTCCCTCCTCCCCTTCGTCCTGCTCTCTCCCCGTCCCGTTTCGCCGATTTGTGCTGGTCCGGCTCTCCTCTCGTGCTGGCAGACTTAGAAGGTACCTGTGAGTGCTGCGTGCTCCTTCATAATGCTAACTGAGGTGGAGAATGCCGACGCTGCTGATACTGCCTACACTGTCCTCCCTCTTCCGCTCTCGTACCCCACTTGCGTTGCGCAGGTCTGGCTCTCTCTCCCCTTGTGGTAGCATACCTGAAGAAGGAATCTGGGGCCACGACACCGCTACTCATGTTGCCAGATGCAACCAACCCTGTCCCCACCATGCAGGTCCGGCTCTCCATTGGTGCTAGCGGACTTAAAGAAGGTGTCAGTGAGCACGGCGCGGTCACTGATAGTCCTGGCGGAGGCGGAGAATGCTGACGCCGCTGATGCGCGCGCCTTGAGGGTGGTGCTGTCGCTGACGGGCGTGCGGGAGGGGCTGAGAGGGCACATCGTGGTGGAGCTGAGCGACCTGGACAACGAGGCGCTGGTGAAGGTGAGAAGATAAGGCCAGGCAAGGAGCGATGGAGAGAATGGGGGGGTGTCATGAGAGTGGTGCTGCCCTTGATGAGTGAGGGATGGGCTGAGTGGCTGAGGGGCCGAGGCGCTGAGGGGCTGAGGGGGCACATTGTGATGGAGCTCAGTGACCTGGACCGGACAAGGAGGCGCTGGTGAAGGTGAGTGCAGGAAGGGATGATCATTGGGAGGAGGTAGGGGAAGGGCGGCACGACGGGCTGCGGGACACATAATGGTGAAGCCGAGTGCCCTGGAGAAAGAGCCGCTGATGAAGGTTGCGAGGTGGTAAGAGAGCGCCTACATGCAGGGCTGAGCTGAGTGAGCTGGACAGCGAGGCTCTGTTAAAGGTGAGGAGTGGGGAAGAATGGTGCTGTCCCTGACGGGGACGAAACAGGGTCTGAGAGTGCAGGTAGCGGTGGAGGCTGGAGCTGAGTGGCTTGGACGACCTAACGCTGGTGAAGATTCGGGATGGGGAAGAATAGAGAAGGGGTGGAGTAGGATTCCTCTGGAAACCCCTGTTTCTCCTTTTTGCCTCGGTATTTCTTTTCCTTTTCATCAGAAGGACCCATTTCCTCTTCCTGTCTTTCCACTTCCATATTCTCGCCTTTTCCTTTCCTGCAGATGGTGGGAGGGCAGCAAGTAGAGACGGTGGTGGCACACGACGTGATTGGCAGGCTCATGATCCAGTGCGCCAGGCAGCCAGGCCTGGTGCAGATATGGGAGGCCCTGCTGGGCTTTGACAACTGCGAGTTCTACGTGAAGCAGTGGCCGCAGCCACCGCTGGGATGATTAGGAGGGTCCACTCAGCAGTTTGGCTTCTCCCCCTCCCCTGCACCCCATTTCCTCTCCAACAGATGGTGGGAGGCCAGCAGGTTGAAACCGTGGTGGCTCATGACGTGATCGGGCGCCTCATGATCCAGTGCGCCAGGCAGCCAGGCCTGGCGCAGATATGGGAGGCCCTGCTGGGCTTTGACAACTGCGAGTTCTACGTGAAGCAGTGGCCGCAGCTGGCGGGGCGCCCCTTCAGCGACGTGCTCGTGTCGTTCCCCGACGCCGTGCCGTGCGGGGTGCGCATCGCGGGGGATGGCGGCCGCATCTGGCTCAACCCGGACGATGACTACGTGCTGCAGGTGGGGGTGGTGTGCTGCAGGCGGGGGTGGTGTGCTGCAGGTGAGGGTGGTATGCTGCAGGTGGGAGTGGTGTGCTGCAGGTGGGTGTCGAGTGCTGCAGGTGGGGGTGGTGTGCTGCAGGTGGGATCCTTGGAGAGCCTGAAGATACGTTGGTTGGGTGCTGCTGGTGAGTATTCTGGTAGCGGTTGTGCTGCGCGTATATGCGTGTTACCCCTGTTGACGTGCGGGGTGATGGTTGCGGGGGACGGGGCTCAACCCGGACAATGACTACGTGCTGCGGGTGGGTGTGTGTTGCAGGTGGGTGTGTGCTGTGGGTGGGTATTGCGTATGTTGGATGCTGCTAGTGAGTATGCCACTAGCAGTTGTGCTGCAGCAGGTGGGGATTGTGTATGTTGTGTGCAGCAAGTGAGTATCCTTAGCAGCGGCCCGGGCAGTGGACCGGGCACAGCCTTGCCTAGCCTTGCCTTGCCTTGCCCATGTCTTGCCTATTTAAGGCTCCTTCTCTCATTTCTCAGTATTAGTTTCTGCGTTCCATTTCTTATCAGCGGCTCGCGCCGGTGGGCTTCGCCCGACGTCGCTCGCCCGCGCGGCCTTCGGCCGCGCCACGAGGGGAAGAGGGAGGAAAGCGGCGACAAGGTGCCACCTACAGACAAGCATGAGGAAGACTACCTATGCGACTACCCGCCGGGTCACCCGTGGCTTCAAGTCAGCCGTGACCCTCGCGCCGGCCCTAACACTCCCTGAACAGGGGCAGCCGCCCGCGGAGGGGCTGCTCCTCTACCGGCACCGCCACGTCAGGCGGGACCCGGCTCGCCCAACCCCGCTAACATCCGCGCGATGCGCTCACCCACCGCCTGGAGAAGCGACACAGCGGTCCCAATGGCGTCTGCAGCTGACCGCGTGTACAGCTGCTGATACACTGCTTCAAGGGGAGGGGAGCTGGTCTCCTCCCCCCCGGGATGCGGACACTCCTCCTCCACCGCCGCCGTCAGCCGGCCAGCCACGCGCCGGCACTCCTGAGTACGCTGGGCGCTGAGCCGCGCCGCCACCAGCTGCTCGTCCATCTCCTCCCGCCCCAGCTGCGCCACCCTCACCGCCATCACCATCACCCTCTGCAGGCGAGACAGGCGCTCCAGGGTCTCCCTGGTGCCTGTCCCCAGGGGATCCGCCTCCTCGTACTTGTCTGGTCGACGACAACGGTCCAGCACCAAGCGACTCGGCACCGCAAAACCCCCCGAGCGACGGCGCCTGGACGACGCCTGCGGCATCACCCCCCCCTGGCTCTCTGCCATCCCCGCCTGCAGCGGAGCCGGGGGCCGTGGAGGAACGCTCACCAGCGCTGCCGCCGCCTGCATCTGCTGCTGCGGCTGCTGCAGCGGCGGTGGCGGCGGCAGTGCCTGATGCTCCGGGGGCTGCGGCTGCTGAGCTGGGGGAAGGGGCGGAGGATACAGCTGCTGCCCGAGCGCCGACACATGCGGAAGGTACTGTGGCGGACAACCAGTGGGGTTCGGGTACCAAGGTGGCTCCACGCGGATCAGTCGAGGAGGGGATGGGGGTACGGGAGGAGGCGGAGGAGGGAGAGCGCGGGGAGGAGGGCCAGCGGACAGATCCAGGGGAGGAGGAATGCGGCCTGCCAGAGTCTCCACCGACCCTTCGCCGCGCCCAATCGCCTGCATCACCGCGGGCACGGCAGCCATGGCCCATTCCGCCGCCGCCGCCACCGCCGCCGCCGTCACCTCCGCCATCGGGCCCTGGCGACCTGGGCGGCGGTTCCGCGAGCCCCGACCTTGGGGCCCACCTTGCTCCGCCTTCAGACGGCCAGCCGCCCCCCGCTGGCGAGGCGGCGGGGACCGCTCAGGGGGAGGAGTACGACGATGGTTGACTGTCGGAGATTGGGCCAGAGAGCGGGGGAGGGAGATGGACGGTACCAGCGCGCCGCGGGAGAGCGCACCTGCCCGTGCGGACGAGACGGTGAGCGCTCCCGACCGCGGGCCCGAGAGGCCATCGTCGCGATGTCAAGCCGCGTTGGATCGATGGCTCTTGACTGGGATCGGCCCGCAATTCGACACGAGGGTCCCGCTCGGCGGCGCGACGAGGGGACGCGGATCGAGGGGCTGCAGGCGAATGCGCGGGAGGATTCCGCTGAGCCTCTCGAACGCTTGGGTCTAGGCACGGGGGAGCGCCTAGACCGGGGTCCTTCGTTTGCGCGGTGCATCGAAGGCTAGCTGGAAGAGCTGGGGAAGCTGAGGGAGCAAAGAGCGTGGGAGCTACGGGATTTTCGCTAAGAGAGGAGGCTGCTGGAGACACTGCTGGGGAGGAGACGAGCTGCTCGAATTATACCCTCTCAGCAGAGGGGTACTCCAAGGCTAGCCTGGGTGGGGAGGAAGAAAGTGGAGAAGAGAGGATAGGTGCTCACCGGCGGGGCGCATCCAACCCAAACCGAGCCGCATCCAACCGAAATCGGACTGCGGATGTCGACATCCCCGGACCGCCTACTGAACATTTTTCGCCGAGCACCCTCGCACGCCGCGAGGACCTGTTTGCGGAAATTGCAAACTGTGACGTGGGGCCCCTTCGCGACAGTCGCTAACCCCCGCTCACTCGCCACGCCCCCCGCCCAATTCGCGAAGGATTCGCCACCTGCCTACTGACCCCGCTCATCCGATTGGCTAAACACCACGACTCTGTGCCAGCGTGGCGTTTGCTGTTCTACCTCCCCCGCTTGATCCTGCGTGTCAGTTCGACCAGGCGCCCTGACTGGAAAGCAATCTTGGGCCGCCTAGACAAATTCCAGCGGGGTCTTGGGGGGATCTGTGCAACGAGGCATGCTGCCACCTCTCTGCCACCCCTGCCCCGCCACAACCCAGACAGCACTGGCACAGTGGCCCGTGCTGAGAACCTGACTAAGCGGGGAAAATTACGCAAAGCTCTCAAAGGATTGGAAGCCACCCCGGTCAGCCCGTCAAATGAGAATACACTCCAAGCTCTACACTCCAAACACCCAGCTGCTGAACTCCCCCTGCCTGCCTGGCTCGCCTCTCATACCCTAGAGGAGACCCCCTCCATCTCCCACAAGAGCCTTCAGAAGCTCATCTCGTAGCTCCCTAATGGAGTTCGAGCAGGTCCTTCGGGCACGACTTTTGAGCATATCCGCGCAGCCGCCCTCGCCAACTCGGACATCCTAGCCCACCTCCGCACCTTATGCAACCACGCCTTAGCTGGCCGCCTTAGCCGCGACGCCGCAGACCTCCTCACTGCGTCGCACCTCCTTGCATTCACCAAGCCCGGGGGGGGAACGCGCCCCATTGCGGTCGGGGAGTGCCTCCACCGCATATTTGCAAGGCGGCGCTCCTCCTCGCGACAAAAGCCGCACGCCAGCACTTCTCGCCGCTGCAGTTCGGGGTGGTGGTGCCAAGGGGGTCCGAGGCTATCATCTACCTCGTGAGGACCTACCTCGACTCGACTCCCACCCACGCCACCTAGCCCTTCAAATCGACCTCCCCAACGCGTTCAACGCGGTCGAACGCGCGGCGGTCGTCGAGGGGCTGCGCGGCACTCCCCTCGCGTTCCTCATCTCCTTCGTCCGCCTCTCGTATGGGGTGCCGTCCGCGCTGTACATCGATCGCGGCTTCAGCGCTCCCCCCCTCTCTAGCGCACGCGGGGTCCAGCAAGGGGATCCGATGGGACCCCTACTCTTCGCCGCCGCCTTGCACCCCGCGCTCACCGCCACCGCCGCCGCGCACCCTGCCGTCTGCGTACTCGCATACGCGGACGACATCACTCTGCTCGGCCCGCCGGAGGAATGTGTCGCTGCCTTTCACACCCTCACTGCCGCGGTCGCCAGCAAGGGCCTGCGCCACAACCTCGCCAAGTGTGAGGCGTGGTCCCCATCTCCAACCACTGAACCTGCCCTCCCCGAGGGTCTCTCCCTCTCTCCATCCGGCCTTCGCGTCCTCGGCAGTCCCGTGGGCCCCGAGCGGGCGTGCACCGCCGCCATCCGCAACCGCCTCGCGGTAGCAGCTGCGCCGCTCCCCCTCCTCGAGAAGCTGGACCCCCAGTCCAGCCTCCTCCTCATCACCCGCTGCCTCTGTTGCCGCGCCTCCTACCTCCTCCGCTCGACTCCCCCTCACCTCCTCCCCGAGGCGGAATGGTCATGCTGGGGGGAGCGGCTCTTCACCACGGCGCTCGCCGCATGCGCGCTGCCAGCACCAAGGCAAGCGATGGAGCAGCGGCGGGTATGGACCCAGGCATCTCTGCCGCCGACCCTCGGAGGCCTCGACATCTCCAACCCTGCTGCCGAGGGTGCCCATTGCTACCTCACCTCGGTAGCCGCAGCTGCCCACCTGCTCGGGGACATGGCGAGACGCCTGCACCCCGCACTCGCCAACCTCCTCCCCCTGTTCACACCCTCCCCAGACGCCGCCGCACCACTTCCGCGCCTCCTTGCCTCTCTCGAGGCCCAACTGCCCGCCTCTGCAGCAGCCACCCTCCACGAGGCACGCGCCTCGCCGGACCCGCCCAAGGTGCAGCGGGACTTGGCGCTGGAGGTCCAAGCCTCCCGCTTCACCGCCCTCCTAGAGGAGAGCCGCCGCCTCCATCCTAACCCCCTCAAGGGGCACACGCAGCGGCTCCCCTTCTCTCCTTGGGCCTGGCGCGGGGGATTGGCTCCTCGCCATCCCCTTCACGCCCGCCCTCCGCCTCTCCCCCGCCCACTTCGCCTTCGCCGTCGCCTTCCGCCTCGGCTTGCCGCACAATGTCCCCGGGGTGTGTGACTGCATCGACAAAATTGAGATAACGGACCCCCGACTGCCCAACCGCCTCCTCCGCTGCCACACCGGACCCGGGCGGACTGCCACCCACCACGCCCTCCGCGACGAAGCAGCCCGCATCGCCAAGGAGGCGGGGTTCATCACCAGACAGAGACCAGCGCCTTCACCCGGGTGGGGAACCTGGTGGCGGACGTCGCCATCCGCCACCCATCCACGGGGGCGGTGTGGGTGTGCGACGTCACAGTCACCGACCCCCTCAAGTCGAAGGACTCAAGGGCCCGGAGGGGGACCGGCCATGCCGCTGCCACTGCGGCATGGGAAAAGGAGAACAAATACGCCCCCCCTGCCCAGGCCGAGTGGGTGGGCTTCTTCCCCATGGCGGTCGAGACCTATGGCTGCAACGCTGTGGGGACTCTCGGCTTCCTCCGCTTCTGTGCCGAGATGGCCGCCAAGAAACAGTTCCGAGCCTCCCCCACCTCCCGTGAGACAGCCAAGTTGTTTCACACCTACCGCCAGCGCTGGTCCGTCGCCCTGCAGAGAGGGCAGGCGGTGGCCCTCAGCAACAAGTGCAACCAGGCCCTGCCTGCCGACGTGTGGCCCGTGGAGGGCCCCACGGAGCCTTTGGACCTCGGCACCCTGCTGCATGCCCTAGAGCCCGTGTGGGAGCTCCCCTAGACAGGAGGAGGTGACTTGCTTGCTTGTTAGGTTAGGAAAGATAGTTGCCTATGCTGTGCCTTGCATGTAATCTCTCTCTCTTACCTATTAAAGGACCATTCAGTGAGTATCCTGGTAGCAGTTGTGCCGCAAGTAAGTGTCAGGGTGAGGGTCGTGGGTTGAGAGTGAGGGATTGTGCAATATGGCTCAACCTGGACGGCGACTAGGTGCAGGTGGTTGGGTAACAGCTGGTGACTTTGCTACAGTGTGTTAAGAGGTACATCAAGGTCTGTGGTTTGCAGGTGATGACTTTATTTTCACAGCTGCCTGGCTGAATCCTGGCACAGGCGTGGGTGCGTGCTGCAGGTGGGTGCACTGAATGGTGTGTGTGTTTGTGTGTGTGTGTGTGTGTGTGTGTGTGTGTGTGTGTGTGTGTGTGTGTGTGTGTGTGTGTGTGTGTGTGTGTGTGTGTGTGTGTGTGTGTGCTACCACGATGTTGCATTCCAAGCAATGTGCGCACTATGCAGTTGTTTCATGCCGATGGTAATGTTAGGACCTGAAGGAGAGTGCAACACATGGCGTGGTATTGAGCCTGTGCTGCAGTTGCAGCAGCACCTGCACGTGTTGGTTCTGCTCATTTCTGTTTCGTACCCTTGTAGTTGATGACTACAAGATGTGCTAGGAGAGCCTGTGTCTGTGCTGCACATCTTGCAGCTAATTGATCACGTGTCAGGTGGGTCCAAGCTCCGAGTGCAGTGCCATGATGTCTTATGTCCTGTGCTGTGTGCCTCAAATGCTGTGTCTACTGCGACGTAAGCGACATGCGATTCCGACAATGAACTGCCACCCAGTGCCCGTCCCCTTCCCCGTTTCCTCATAGGTGCTGAATCTGTTGATTCCTTGTCAGTCAGAGCATGGTGTGCTTCAGTCTCCTATCTCCTCTCCTAGATCTACCCTCTTAGCCTGGCGATGCAGTCTTGGCGGTAAGGTGAGGAGAGGACCATGGCTCCAATCCAATGGGTCTGGCCCTTGAGACATATAAAGGTAACCACTCTCTCATCTCCCCTTCCTTACTCCCCTGCCCATTCTCAGCCCGAGGATGCAGTGTTGGTGGTGGCGGAGGATGACGACTCCTATGCGCCCGGTCCAATGGCCCATGTGCGCCATGCAATGCTGCCCGACGTCGTTGTGCCGCCCAAGTTGCCCGAAAAGATTCTATTCTGCGGATGGCGGCGCGACATTGACGACATGATTGTGGTACGACTGTGGCGAACGCTGTCATGGCATGTAATCTGTATTGGCATGTAATCTGTATTGGCATGTAATCTGTATTGGCATGTAATCTGTATTGGCATGGTCATACCAATCTGTGATGCCACACCCTGCAGCACTCTGCAGCATTCTTATATCCTTCTGCACCGTTCATAATCACGGTACCCCAGAGCCAACTTCAATGCCCCTTTCTTTCGCATTTCTCGCTGAATGTGCAAGCATGTCGTTTGTCTGCTTCCTCTTCCCCCCCCACCCCACATCCACCCTCCAACCCCCACCCGTCCCGTGTGTCTTCCCTCTTGTACACGCCCTCTTCTTGCCTTTCCCCTCGCCGGTCCCCGTTACCACTCCCACTCGCAGGTGCTCGAGGCCTTCCTAGTGCGGGGCTCAGAGCTGTGGATATTCTGCGAGGTGGTGGTGAAGGAAACGGATTCTCCCCCCTCCCTCCCCCCTCCCCCCCAACTCTCTAATCATCCCCCATCCCCGCCCTTCTTTCTCTCAGGTTCTTGAGGCCTTTCTAGTGCGGGGCTCGGAGCTGTGGATATTCTGCGAGGTGGTGGTGGAGGAGAGGGAGTATCCCCCCCCCCTCACCCCCCCTCTCCCCTTTCTTTCTAATCATCCCCCACCTCCCCCCCCCGCCTTTCTCTCAGGTTCTTGAGGCCTTCCTAGCGCGGGGGTCGGAGCTGTGGATATTCTGCGAGGTGGCGGTGGAGGAGAGGGAGGAGCGCCTGATGGAGGGCGGGCTTAACCCGGGCGACCTGGAGAACATTGCGCTCGTGCATCGCGTGGGGAACGCCGTCATCAGGAGGCATCTGGAGAGCTTACCCCTGGAGACGTTTGATTCGGTAAGGCGTGTTTGACTTGGGGTCATTGACCTGGAGAACATTTCGATAGTGCACCACGCATGGGGAACGCTGTTATCAGGTGGCACCTAGCAAGCTTGCCTTAGGAAACGCTTGACTCAGTGAGGCGTGTTTGACCTGTGTGGCTTGGACTCGCGGCGCAACCCGGGCGACCTGGAGAACACTGCGCTCCCCCGTGCAACGCGTGGGGACCGCCATCATCAGGCGGCACCTGGAAAGCCTGCCACTGGAGGCGTTTGACTCGGTGAGTTGGTTCTAGGAAGTGATGCAGTTGCTGGTTCCTAGTAACTCACCGCTTGGTGGCGCCTCAAGACGTTCCTCTGTCTTCCCCCTCTTCCCCCTCTCTCCCCTCTATCCCCTCTCTCTCCCCTCTCTCCCCTCTTCCCCCTCTCCCCCCCTCTCCCCCCCTCTTCCTCATCTCCCCCCTCGCCCCCTCTTCCCCCTCCCTCCCTTGCAGATCCTCATTCTGGCGGACGAGGGCTTGGAGGACTCGGTGATCAACTCGGACTCGAGGTCGCTGGCCACGCTGCTGCTCATCCGCGACATCCAGGTGACCTTTGGGTTTGAGTCGTCCTGGTGAAGGACCTCTTCATTGCTGGACACTGATCTACCTTGGGGGTCAAGACAACTCGGGCAGCGTATGTGACCTTTCAAACTCCAGGTCTCTGCCAACGCTGCTGCTTTATCTGAGGCATTCAGCCAGAAAAAGTCTTTCTCGATATAGGCTGCGGGTCAAAAGAATACGGTCGACTCAAGTCTTGTTATCTATTTGACGTCAAGGCCGTATACTGCTCTGTTGCGGCATTCTTGTGGTGCCACATGCATGAATTCTTCGCCCCTCCTCCTGTCTCTCACCCTAACACACACACCCCTCCTCCCTCCCTTCCCTTTCTCCCCATCCAGTCCAAGCGCATGCCCTACGAGGTGTGCTTTGCTGGCACTGCCCTCCCCAGGGCGCACCACAACACACACATTGTGGGGGGAGCTGCTGCTAGTGGCGGCAGAGCTGGTGCTGCTGCTTTTGCTGCTGGTGGCGGTGGCTTTGGTGCTACACCAGCAGCAGGAGCAGGGACTGGTGGTACCAGTGGTGCCAATGGTGGTGGTGGTGTCAACGGGAACACACACGGAGGGTCGTGGATCCGGCAGATGCAGCAGGCGTCGCAGCAGTCGATTGTCATCTCTGAGATTCTTGACTCGAGGACGCGCTCCCTCGTGTCGGTGTCAAAGATCAGCGACTATGTGCTCTCCAACGAGCTCGTCTCCATGGCCCTCGCTATGGTAGGTCGATTCATCTCTGGCTCTCGGAGCCTCCTGTTTCAATCGTTTTGCGTGTCTAAGTGCCGCGACTATGTGCTCTTAATCGAGGTTGTCTCCCTGGCCCTTGCTATTGTGAGGCTTCCCTTGTCCTGCCTGTGGTGGGTCGTAAGACGTTTACATGAATCTGTGTGGCGCTAGGTGAGGTGGTTGTTGAGTCCGCTCATGCTGCTGCTCGATGGAAGTTCAGGTGAGGATCAGGCGATGATTATGTGTTGCTGCATGGCACGGTGGTGTCGTGCAAGGTGTTTGACGTGACGGGGTGACACTGTTTCGCGCAATGACGTGATGTTGTTTCATTCATGTGATGGTGATCGCTGTGGTGAGAGTTAAACATGGCACAGAGGTGATTCACGCCCATCCTCCGCTTGCTGCACGTCTTCCTCTATGCCAGTGCCCGCCTCCCTTCCCACTTCCCGTTGCTCCACCGAGCCCCTTTTTCACTCACGAATACCTGCCTTTTGTCTGCGAACCGTGCAGGTGTCGGAGGATCGGGAGATCAACCGTGTGCTTGAGGAGCTCTTCTCAGAAGAGGTGTGCCTCACTGCTGCTGCTCGTCCCTTTGATGCCGTTCTATGTTGTCAATGCCTTTCCATCTTCCTCCCAATGTTGCCGCCTATTGGTGTCTCTGGCAGTTTTTCGTTTTGGTATGTCTTTGCATATCCTTTGATTCTTACGATGGAAAGGTGGCAATGTAAGCAGCACACTGAGTGCAGCCATTGCTGTCAGTGGAGGAGGGAGGGTGATGAGCCAACCTTCTTCGCAGTGGTTCAAAACGTTTCCCCCTCTTCCCCCTTCTCCCACTTCCACACCCACACTCCACTCCCTTGTCCAAATCTATCCCAGGGCAACGAGATGTACATCCGGCCAGCAGAGCTGTATTTATACGAGGGCGAGGAAGTGTCATTCTTTGAGGTGATGGTGCGGGCGAGGCAGCGCCTGGAGATAGTGATTGGGTACCGGCTGGGCGGGGAGGAGGGGGGCGTGCTGAACCCGCCAAGCAAGCATGTTGCGAGACGGTGGTCGCTGAGCGACACCTTCATCGTGCTGTCGCTGGAGGAGTGACGGAGACGGCCCGCACTAGTTCCAATATTGTACAGTAGTTCGACTCACTGGACGTGTGGAACCAAGTGTTCTAACCCCAGCTGAAGAAAGATGTTGTACACCTCCCTTAAGCGTTGAATCATGAAGGGATGTGTGATATACCATTGGAATATGTGCATTGAAGCCACACGAGTTACAATGCAAATGGTCAGTGAACGTAACACGTGCTATATGTCAAAAGCCCCTTTCTTGACTTCATTCCAATTATCATTCCAAGCTTGCTTGCCTTCGAGAAATTGGGTTAGGTCCTGGGAAGCTGCAGCAAGCTCGGCTCTAGCCTTCACAATAGATTCTTCTTCTGGGCCTTGCATGAATTTCTGTATGATGGCATAGGCACAAACCAGACGGTGGCAATAGAGGAATCCATGATGGAAATGACACGGCAAGGTGAGCAATGGGAGACCACATGGGTAGTGGAGGCGAGATGCGGGTGAAAGGATGAGAGGAGGTTCGTTGGAACCAGAGTTGATGGATGGAAGAAGGGGGTCAGAGGGAAGGAAGGGAGGGACAGAGGGAGGTAGGTGGCATGGCAGGTGCACAAGGTGGGAGAGAAGGAGTATAGAGGGAGGGAGGGTGCAGAAAGCAGGCATGGAAAGTGGGGAGAAAAGAGCGATGGAAGGACATAGTGAGGGGAGGCACGAAGGAGAGCGAGAAGGAAAGAGATGGGCAAGAGGATGAGATGAGCGAAGGAGAGGGGACGGACATCTAGCAGGGGGGGAAGGATGGCCAAACGGAGGAGGAAAAAAAGGCAAAGCTTGACTTACTTGGCATTCCGCCCTGATCGACTCCTTCAGAACTTCTCCATTCTGACGAGCTGCCTCTGCTTCCCTTTGCGCTGCTTTGAGAGCCTCTTCAAGTCTCAGTACTTCCTTGTCCTGCAGATAATAAATAATTAATAAAGTTCAAGAAACGTATATTTAGGATGGGAAGAAGTGCTCAGCATCATTGTGTAACACACCTTCTCGTTGATATCCTTGTCAACCTGCTGTGTCTTAAAATCCCTTTCTTCTTCCAGCATCCTATTACCCCTCTCTTGCTCCTCCACTAACTGAGCCAGGACCCTCCTCCTTCCAGCAACCACCTTCTTCTTCTCCTCAGCCAGTTCACCCCGGTGGTACTCCATGATTGATTGCACTATCTTGGCAACTGCTGCTGCAGTAAGCGCCTTGCCATCCACTGGCTCCCCTTCAGAGCCGTACTTCAACATGAGAATGGGCTCGTCAGTACCGCCTTCTGCTCCTCCACCCTCACCGCATCGACCGCGTGCCTGCTGCTGCTCTCCGGTCTGATCCCGCGTGCCGCACGCTTCAAGAGAAACAAGAGCGGAAGCAAGTGCAGTGGATTGGGGCGCTGTCGTCGCAGCTGGCGGCTGTGGAGGCGGCTGTGGCTGCCGCTGCTGTTGCTGCTGCTGTGGAGGCGGCTGCTGCTGCTGCTGTCGAGGCGGCTGCTGCTGCTGCTGCTGCTGTGGAGCTGAGGAGAGGCGCAGTTTCTTTGCCAAACTGGCATCAGCACCATTAGCGCCAGCATCCACACTCTCTGGAACTCGATCGACCATCTCCTCCTCCTTCACGCTCTCAGTAGTTCGATCCACCACTGACACTTCTACCACGTCCTCTTGTTCCCTTGTCGCGTGGTTTGCCACCCTCCGAGAGTGGCCTCTCACTTCCCTTCCTCTTCCTGCCCCCGCACCCTCCGAACGCTCCCTCTGGCTGTCGGCCTTTCCACGAGTGGGTTCACCGCACCCCTCGTCCGGTTGTCTGTGGCTCAGAGCGCGCGCCTCTCTCCTGCTTGGCATCGTCCAGGCCACGTCCCCTCCCTTGCAATGGAGAAACTAGCCGTAAGCCAGCAGTGACTTCAATGGGTTAAAAGCAATCGCGTGAACGGTTTCGAGCTGCTACCTCCGTCCCCCTCACAGCCTCACCCGTCCCCCCATCTCCTCTCATAACCCTCATTTTTCGAGGCCTCTGCGAGGTCGCTGTCCAAGTCGGGCTGCCCGAGGGTGCGAGGGGCGCGAGGGGTGGGAGGGGCAAGCAACGTCGCCTCTCGGACATCCTGCGTCGCATTTTCTCCGAGGCGGGCTCTCCGCCTTCCACGAAGATCTTCCCGTCGCGGCGTCTACTGGCCCCTTGGTGATCCCTAACGGCTGGGACGGCTAAGATGCATCTGACGCCTTAGATAGCAGCTAGGCTTGTCCTAGCGGTTAGGGTTGTCCTAGGGTTTCGTTTGGCATGCAGTGTTGTCATCATTACGATAGCAGCGAGGATTGAGTCGCTCTTGCATGGGAAGCAATGACAGCGACGGCGAAAGCGACACCACAGACTGCGACAATGAGCGACGCGTCAAGCTGTAACGTTGTCGGGGATTTTGAAGAGCGCGGAGCGAGAGAAGGATCGACAGATGCGCGATGATAGGCGTGAAATCGACTCTTGATTTGTTATCCTAAAATGACGGACATTGTTATTGAATCCGAAAGTGACGAGGTGCACTGCTAGCGCGTATACCTAACGTACACGTCACCGGACTAGGCCCTAGTTCCGTCACTGTATGTGCTACACCGAACCTTTTCCGCGTCATCCCGAAGCGCTCCGCGTCCTCGGATGCCTTCTTCGAACCTGAGCGTCCGAGGTTAAGATTCGCTCTGGTGTTCTTATATATAGCCTCGTCATTCATTGTACCGTAAACTTTTCTGGATTCTGTCATTTCGAATCTCGACATTCACTTCCGCGCAACTCTGGATTTTCACCCATAACAGGGGAAGCACTGAATAACGAGTACTGGAAATATCAAATACACATGATCCTGGATACAACAACAAAATATTTACATGAGAATAACCTTACTTTCACTTGTCGTCCTGCTTATATCAACCTATTTACAAGGGCACCTACCAGGTTCTCTATACGATTTGGTTTGTCCCGAATTGGTTTCAGTCCGACATAGAATATTGTGTCAACAAACATCTTTATGTATCTAGTTATGTTAGGTTATCACCTAGCTAGGATAGCTCTTAGAGGGGGAAACACAATGTACTTGTATCTCCCCTCCCCTCTTCCTAGTCCAAATTTTCAGCGCTATTCTTGTCAACTTATACATTTGCTGTGCATGTACAGTTATAGGCAAGACGGGTTCGTGCTCTTATATAAAACAACACTATTGGGCTGAAAAATAGCCCTTAGGATCTTTCCAGAGACTTGATCCCAGTTGTAAAGGAGACTTGAGTAGTGCAGCGGAAGTAGAGTAGATGAACCCTTGTACTGGTATGTGAGAACAAGTGATTGATTAAAAGAACAAGCATACATCAATATATATAGAAAGTAGGAAAGTAAAGCAGTTGTAGAATACAGTTAAAAGAGCGGTTTATCGAGTCGCACAGCGACTCGATTGACGGTTCTGTTACCATCCTTGTAGTTGTAACGGTCAGTCGTAACCTCCGGTTGCGACCCTTCGAGTCCTTTCGTGTTCTTTGTCCGCCCCCTCGTGTAACCTCCGTTGACTCGCGTACCCGTTATGGCTTTCCTCGAGTGTAGTGTTACACTTCAGAAACGCTTAAGTCCTTGAGATATTTCCAACACTCCCCTTCGTTTCTGGAGTGCTGACGTGTCCAGATTCGACGATGTTTATCTGCCCGGTCAGTAGCATGCAGTAGTCGAACTTTGCTTTCGCCAGTTTCTTCGTCAGGTAGTCTGCAGCCATTTCTGTCGTGGGGCAGTAACTGAGTTGAAGTCTCCCCTTCGCGATTTCATCCTTGACGAAGAAATACCGCAGGGCGATGTGTTTGGTTCGGTTGGCGAAACCGTCTTTGTTCGCGATTTTGATCGCGGATTGGTTGTCGCAGAAGAGCGAGAAGAAGGGCAGGGTTGCAATCTTTGCTTCCTCGAGCAACTCTCGTAGGTAAAGTCCTTCCTTGGTCGCAGTGCAGAGGGCGATATATTCTGCTTCAGCCGAAGATAGTGCGATTAGTTCCTGCTTGCTCGACTGCTAGGAGATAGTCCCGATAGGCTCTAGTCGGTAGATGTAGCCCGTCCTTGATCGTCGATTTTCCCTGTCTCCCGCGTGGTCGGCGTCGACGTATCCGAGCAGTTGTACGGACGATGTCGTTGCTTTACTGTAGGTAAGTCCGGTCGTCGGCATAGAGACGAAGTAGAGTAGTGCCCGATTTAATTCCTCGAGATCTTCTTGTTCCGGCTGCTTTAGATGCGTCGCCAGTTGGCTCGCGCTGTAAGATAGGTCCGGTCGGCAGGTTACTACTGCGAATAGTAGGCAGCCGAGCTTCTGCTGATACTCCAGGATTTGCTTCGCGAGGAGTTTTGCAGAGGTGTCGTTGTTGTTCCCGTAGCGGTAGGGAGTCGTGACTGTAGTCAGTGTTAATCCGAATTTCTTCGCGACAACGCCTGCGTATTTTCCAGCGTATAGGTAGAACGCCGAGTTGTCTTCGACGACGTTCAGACCCAGGTACTGGGTTACGGTGTCAGACACCGTGAGTGTCAAGTCCCTTTTCAGCTCCCCTTTGAACCAGGTGGTGATGTTGGTAATGGAGCCGATGTAGAGCAAGTCGTCGACGTAGACGATGAGTAGGATAAATTCCCTTTCCTTCTGTAGTCGGTACATGCCTTGGTCGTGCGGCAGCTGTAGGAATCCGATTCTGACGAGGCGACTGTGAAGATGCTGCTGCCAAAGCCGCGGGGCTTGCTTGATCCCGTAAAGGAATTTTATCAGCTGGCATACTTTTGTGGGGTCGTCGATGAATCCGTGGGGCTGCTCGACGAAGATCTCGGCGTCCACAGGTGCGTACAGGAAAGCGTTTGCGACGTCGATCTGGCGCAGTGGTAGTTTTTTCGTGGCCGCGACAGCGAGTAGGATGCGCAAGGAGGTGTGACGGGAGACTGGGGCGGATGTTTCTGTGTAGTCGGTTCCGTATCGTTGATCGAATCCTCGTACGACCCAGCGAGCCTTGAATCGTTCGACGGAGCCATCCGCATTGGTCTTGATGCGGTACACCCACTTTCCCGAGAGCACGTTTTTTCCGTTGGTTTTTGTTGCAGGTACCAGCTTCCATGTATTTCGGTCTTGCAGAGCTTTTAGTTCCTTTCCCATCGCCTCCTTCCATTTCGCCTTATGTTCCCCCCCCAGAGCCTGCGTCAGAGTCGTTGGCTCGCGCGGAGATGGCGGCGGCGGGTG